TGCGGGGGGCGGCGGCTATGGAGACAGCACTGATTACTCTGGTGAAGGACGTCGTACCGGTGGGGGCGGCGGTGGTTACGGAGACAGTTACTCTAGCGAAGGACGTACTGGACATGTCGGTGGCGGAGACAGTTACTCGGAAGAAGGACACGGCGGCCGTGGCGAGACCACTGCTTACTCTTCTGATGAGCCCTACGGCGGACGGTACAGCGAGGCATCTGAAACCTATGGGTCTAGTGACTCTGGAGACTACAAGAAGCAGGAGAAGCACCACAAACATCTCGAGGAACTTGGGGAGCTAGGTTCTGCTGCTGCTGGCACTTATGCATTGGTAGATTAATGTTTCAACCCTATTTTTCTGATTTAATTTATTATTTTAATTAGGCATACTAATTGTGGATTTATGATCATTCTCAAAGGCATATTATTGCATGATTTGTGATCGATCTTGTTGCGAAGAATTTTTTAGTATGATGGATAAGTATACATCACCTATTTTATGATAATCAATCATCTAAATAATATGTATATACACTCGTTACATCTAAAAATTTCTCGTAAAAAAAATACATACTTCCCGTTCACTTATATAGAACATAACTGAAGAAGTGGGAGATTAATTAGGCTAAGTTTTATCCAGATCTTATTGACAAATTATATAATTGCCAATCTTTCTTTGTTTAAGTATAATGATTATGTAGTTATAAGGCCAAATCTTGTTTTGGTTACAACTTAAAACGGACCAAATCAAACTCCTGGACCATCATAATTTCCATTTTTGTTTAAGTATAATGATTATGAAAATATAAAAGGAGAAACTTTGGCCCAAATCGAACTATAGGATATATCACATATATAATTTTGAAAGATAATGTTGAGCTTGGATATATATATAAAAGGAGAAACTTTGACCCTAAAGTTGTTTCTTTTTTTGGGCAGTATGAGAAGCACGAGGCAAAGAAAGACCCAGAGCATGCTCGCAGGCACAGGATAGAGGAGGAGATTGGGGCAACAGGGGCAGTTGGTTCGGGTGGGTATGCCTTCCACGAGCATCATGAGGAGAAAGAGTCAGAGAGAGAAGAGGAAGAGTCTCATGGAAAGAAGCAACACCACCTCTTCTAAATAATCTCAATTAATCAATATCGATCTTTATTGATTACCTATTTAAGTGGTTTATTTGTATGCATCCCTTTAATTATTTGTGTGATGTTTAATTATGATGAATGCTCAGTATTTTGTTTCTGAGAATTGATGCATGTTGAGTGTGTAAGTAAGACTCTTTGTTTAAAGGGTACTGTATATATCCTGTTTTCTTTTAGCATGTCATGTATTTAATTGTTAATCGTTTACTCGGTGTAACTTTTATATAATTTTTTAGTGGTATTAATTTTTTTTCTTTTATACAAGCAATATTGAGCAAGCGGGGAATCAAACCTAGGACCTATGCAGGGGTAATTACTCTTAACTACTTAAGCTATAAACCACTTGTGTATAAATCTTAGCCAGACTTAATTAACAACTCAATATATGGATAAGAATATAGAGTTGAGAAAATATGCAGACGAAAATCATATTGTTGATTTTTTGTTGAATCCCCTTTACCTTGTTGTAACTAAGTGAAAAATATGGTGCTTTGCATATAGAATTCGATAGAAACTGATTATTCTAATCATTCAGTCTTAAATAGTAATACATTCATAAAGGTGAGACCAATTAAGCCATTAAAACACTGCGAATGATTCACGCTAAAACATAATTAAGATCATGAACAAAATAGACCCTACTAGTTAAGTAACTAACATGGCTAGAGACCTCATGTGCGTTACATTTATTGATTGAATATCTCAAATTCTTCAAGGGACTAACTTCTCCGAACCAGGAACAACTTTCACATTAGTAGGATCATGACTTGATGGTGGTGATGGTGGATTTGACGGCTGGGATTTAACATGATCGGCTTCATCGCAATAACCCTTGAGTACATCAGTCTCTTCCACGGTAAACCCTAGCGTGCCAAGTAAGGCAGGCCAACACTGATGCTCAATGGTCCTAATGGCTTCACAGCAACTGTGACCCAAGTAAGTCTCACCATTAAGAAAAAACATGACAACCTCACTAGAACATGACTGGAGCTGAAACAAAGAGTCCCAGCAGTTGGCAGATTCTTCATCCAAATTCAACCTAGCTACGAGGTTCGAGTTTGACCAAATTATGTTAGGATTCAAAGGGCGAGCACTTGTGGCTAAGAATGGCATAGTCAAGGCTAGAAGAGCTATGAGAAGGAAGAGCTTGAAAGTTGTGTAAGCTGCCATTTTGATTTTGTGGATGAGTAAGGGATTGATACGAATGAAGGGTTTTATATAGATGGTGAGGTGATTGTGTTATAAAATGGAAGGAAAAGAAAAAACCGTTACGTGCATTGGGTGGTGAAGAGGCTGCTGAGAGTAACTCATAATGACAATAATCATGTGATAATTAACAGAAGGAGGAGTTGATGGGACTCAACTCACCAACTAATGATGCATATAACAAAATTTGTGGGAATTAAAATAATTAAACGTAATTCCCAACCACAGATGAATTAATGGATAATTTGTGGTCTTTGTGATGGTTGGTTTGCTTGCTAGTGTTGGTTTTGTTTGCTGATGGTCAAAAGGATTGACCATTCGTTTGCTTACCGAAAGTTGGTTAGTGTATTCACTATTCGTGCTCATTCCAAAAGATTGATTGAGATCCATAATTGGATGATTAAATTCATGTTTGCTTTACATTTTAATTTCAAATTTGTTCTCAAATTGACAAAGGTGATTTCAACCTATTGTAATGTAAGGTAAGTGAGGGGGTTTGAACTCGGGTACAAGGGGCAAGCACACTACATTGACCAACTCGCCTTTACCACATTTGCAATTTTAATTTTCTATTAGATTTTTAGTTCTTGGACTCCAAACTATGCTTCAATTCTCATTGGAATTCGCTTAGAGCTAGACAAATTAATAATTTTGTGATTTGTTGATTAGCTAGATACTGGAGTTGGCTTCATTTTGGGCTTCATTTGGTTCCATTCGGCCTTCGGTTGATGGCTCTTGGATGTTTGTTCGGCTCTGTTTGTTTGAACATATCTATAGCTTACAATACATCTTAATTTTTAGAACATATGTCTCATTGTAGTTCCAAAATGTCTCAAAATAAAAATCGAAAGAAAATAATAGCTCCAAAATCATTGCCTCTCAAATGATTTCCCTAGTGTGAAAATGTTGTCATCAAGACAGACCACTGTGTGAATATTAATATGAAGACTACATTCTCTGCTTTTGTGGAACTGTGAGTACATTTTGACAAGATTGACAACTTCTCATTCATAAATCACCAATCTCCAAATAAAAAGTTACTAAGTTTTATTCAAAAGGTGATGTTAATGGGCCTTTCAGAATTCCTGTCTGCTGAACAATTTAAAACTGAGAGATGCTAAATAAGAGGAGTGCATAAGTGAAAGAGATTGTATAAAGTATAAACTATCAAAGAGATTACCAATGAAGCAGACAGGGGAGGAGTTCCGACAAAGCAATTGGTCGGTTTTAGATCGATTCAACGCAAATGTTTACGGGTCTGATTGAGAATTCTTGTTGTCTTATTCCATCCTGCACAAAATAAAACAGGGCAGTTTAAATAGTCACATAAGTTGTGTCAATAAGAACCAGGTAGGTGATCTTAAGGTGCAAATTTCATGCGAACCTGGCCAATAAGTACACGACTACTTTCAATCAGTTCAAGTTGCACATTAGCAGTGTGCCCAGTATCGACCATGGCATCAGGAACCCAAATTTCAGTTGACTGCAGGACACAATTGGCTGGCTTCAACAGCAGGAGTCTTGTAATTATGCATAAACAAAAAAAAGTTACAGTGTGTCCTGTTTATTTGCATCATAAATCTTGCATATACATACATATGCAATGGAAAAAAAAAGTAGCAAGATAAATTGTTCTCCTCTCCTGCAAAATGATAAGTAGAATCAGCAAAAGCAGCAACTCACATTGAAACGCAGCAGCTGTGATGCCTCTTGCTTTGAAATTGAGGAATCATAGGTCAGTCCCAATCACTTCGATCTTTTTTCTTTTTCTGGGCCGAGCTTCGTCAACAACATCATTTAATTCATCTTGGTCTGCATCTTCGGAAAGAGCATGGGTATTGCAGAAGAGAGATTTTTGGTGAGAGCTACCACTTCCACTAGGACTAGCCTCCTCGTCATCGTGGCGTTGTTGACCTTGTGCATCAGCTGATTTGGTAGGACAAGTAGTAGTGCTCTTGATGATGGATTTGTTCATCATGATCTGGTTGAGTTGTTCCACATCCTGCTCGTGCACCAAATGAAACCCACACTTCTTCACACTCGCGCAACGCCGAGCAGTAAACAAAAACTTTTTCTTTTTCTGACCGCATATCTTCTGAAATTGTTTACGAGATACATAAATTACCCAAAGGTGATCTGACACAACATCACCTATTTTAAATTTTTTTGAAAATAATCCAAGTTCGATGTAAATTTGATTTGCTCTCTTGGTAGGCCTTTTGTCAAAGGATCTGCAATATTTTTCTTTGACTTCACATAGTCAATGGATATAATTCCATTTGAGAGCAATTGTCTAATTGTATTATGCCTACGCCTGATATGTCTTGACTTTCCATTGTATACACCACTCTTGGCTCTTGCTTGTGCTGCCATACTATCACAATGTATACAAATCGCTGTCACAGGCTTAGGCCACATTGGAATGTCCTCTAAACAGACGTGTATAGCACGCTCTACAATGGAATCAGAGTTTGTAGCCTTAGACCCTAAACCCTAAACCCTAATGTAAATACATATCCACTAGTTGATTTGGTTTCTGTACTGTCAGAAATCCAATTTGCATCACTATAGCCTTCTAGAACTGGTGGATATCTAGTGTAGTGCAATCCATAGTCTTGGGTGTATTTCAAATATCTTAGCACCTTGATTAGTGCCTCCCAATGATCATGTCCAGGATTGCTTGTGTATCTACTAAGCCTGCTTACTGAATAAGCTAAGTCTGGCCTAGTAGAATAAGCTAAGTCCCCAAGGCCCATCTTTTTGACTATTAAATATTATATATTTTTATATAATATTCAAAGCCCAAATCGATTTTGAAGCCCAAATTGCTTCCACTTGGCCTACTTCCATTTACTAAGTGTGGCACTTCCACACTTATAAGGACCTCACTCTTTCTACTTTCTATCAATGTGGGACAAAGGTTCTTGAATTTAATTCAAACTTCCAACAGGTATATGCTGCCATTTTCACTGTGGATGATTGAGAGATCGATGTGATGTGTGAGGAAGGGAGAATCCAAGGGTTTATATATAGAGGCCAGACAGAGCAAGATGAATTTAGTGTTACAAAAACGTTACCTGCATGGAGAGATGGGGTGGTGCAGAGACTCGTCAATCAAAATTATTAATATCACTTATGCATGTGTTATTACAAGATTAGTGGGCAATTAAGACTCAAACAACTAATTAATTGATTGATCTTCCAACCATGATCAGACAAATTAATGGACAAGTTTGTGATTGTTGGTTTGCCTTAAGTTGGGCTTTTTGCACTCATTTTCGATGTTGTTGGGTTTTATTTATTCTTGCTTGGTCTGTTTGGTAAGCTTATTTATGGTAGGGTGTCAAATTTCAACAATCGAAACCTTCACGAAATTTACGCGAGTTAAGCCACACAATAATAATTATAAGTTAAATTCTAACCTTTTTCATTTGGGCTTTGCCCTTCTTGTTTTTTTTTTTTTTTTTTTCAATTCGGTAAATTGTATTTAATGAAAACCTATATTGCACAGCCTTTGCTCAAAGTCAAAATCACATTGGAAATAAAAAGTTTATCAGAGCATCCAAAATAGGCTCCCTAAACCACCTCCTTAGACAAATTTTAGGGAGGAATGATAAAAATACAACTCCAACCACGCTCCCTATCCACCTCCTAAAATAGGGAGTCCTCTATGATAACCATGGTGGAAAGAAAGTATTTCAGATCTAGGTTTAGAGAGAGAAATGAATGAAAGGTAAAGCTCTGTATATTTCTGAGAAGTGTTTTCTTACATGATAATGAAATGAACTAATCACAAGCTTATATAGCTGTGTAACAATGACTCCTTCACTAATCTGATCTTAACAGAATAACTAATTAGACTAACAAGAGTAACTAACAAACACGTGAAGAGCTAACAGACTTGC